TGCTGCCATCTAACTCAAGAGGCGCTTCCATTAGACTCTCATCTATATATGCCAGGACTCACCTTAGATCAAAGTTTTTCGGTAATAGAGTTTGCTCAAGGTTCAATTACCTTTTGCGGAGCAATGTCTTACAGTTCAAATATCAAGTTTTAAGCGACATGTGGGAGATTTTGTAGAGACTACGAATTAGTTGTAAATTGCTATATAGGTGATTATACAAATGATGTTGTGTTCTGTTGCATTACCTGGTTTTAGTTTTATTTGCGTTGTAAGTTTTATTGTTGAATGTGCTCTGTCACGTCAACCGAATAAACGGAAAAACGAAGATGATGAGCTTTTTTAAGCATAAGAACCAGTTCAATCGTTGTGAAATTCTGCGTCGCTGCCATGTCATCCGTTACATTTTGGATCATCGAACATTGCAATCCAGGCATAAAAACCGGGAAGTTCGAAAGTAGCGATTCTGGCCCTTCGGAACCAGTCCGGAATGCATCTTTCTGCACCACCAATTCCTTTCTCTCCTTGTTCAACAATGTTCCCGCTGTAGAGATTCTCTCGGCTGCTACTGGGCAACATAAAGTCACCTATAGACCGTTTTACAGTTCTTCATTGCTTTCAGTTCCATGGACTCTTCTGGTATTTCACAGAAAAGGTCGATAGAGGTATAAATGCCTCCAAGAACTGCCTAACAAACCGAATCTGTGAGCACGAACAAACTGGTAAATTCTCAGTGCTGCAAACTACTCATTGCCAGAGTTATCTAAATGTGCGAACTGCTCCGAGACATTCTTGGCTTCGGAGAATATAAGGAATATCAAAATAAACTTCATTGTACATGGTTCATGGTCCATGGGTTTTTTCTCAAAAAAATCAGAATCAATAAACATTGAGGCTACTGACGTGAAAACATGAGCACTGCACAATTGAGATAATTTTGTGATCAATACTTTCAATACAGAACCGTATGAGGCACGAATCCTTGATACATTACGAAGAAAACGTCAGTAAAATGAATACGAACTGAAGGGTTGCTTCTAATATTGTGTTGTAAGCATTTGATTTTACAACGGAAACTGCTTGAAAAGAAAACAAAAGACGCTATTCATGCCTGCACGCCCCACTCCGCAAGGTTCGAGCCACGTTTTTATGGAGAATTGCCACAGCTATGAACCTGGCCAAAAATTCGCAGCTTATTCTGATCTACAGAACACGAGTACTGCATCTGCTCCAAACGAGACATCCCGGGAGGTCGTACTACCCCTTGTAATAAGTTTGGTGCTGCGTCTGTGACGTAGGTGAATGTGTTATTCATGTTAAACGGATAACACACCCCCTCCCCCGGCCCCCATTTACTGTAATTCCGGCCAACACTACTCTCGGTGAAAAATTAGTGCCAAAGCAAAGCCTGGATTTCGAAGAGTGAGGCAGTGAAGGGCAAATAGTGTCAAATACAGAGCATATCGTAAGAACAAGGCCATCGTCGTGGATGCGGATGTAATGACCAGTAAATGATGTGGTTAAGCTACTTCATCCTGAAAACGTACAAACTTGAAATGTGATTCGTACTCCGCACTAAATGTCTTCAAAGGGGGAAAAATTGTTAGAAAACAAATAATGAAACAAGGCAAAGGGAAGAAAGCGAGGAAGATGCAGTGGCTAGAAATGTTTTCTCCTACTCCTGGGGATCGGCCACCTTCAGCGCCATCCAATTCCCTACTCTGTATCGGTTCCTAAATTGATTGCAGAGCGGTCGGCTTACAGCTATATCTGGACCAAGCATAAGAAACAAACAACCCAGTTAAAATCTTGCACCGCCTTATATGAATCAAATGCAAGCACAATTACTTCTACGAATCTCAGGGAGAAGGGTTGCGCGTGACGTATCCCAATGGTACTAATCACCTCTTTATGTACCGTGCTTTCATAACAAATGAAACTTTTCTTTAGGAGAAGTGGTGCAGTTTTGGTTACTGTTCTATTTATAAATCTCCAAAGATTGGTAGAGAAAGTCGGTCAAGGAGAAGCACAGATTAAGGGCTCGGTCAGGGTCAACCTCCAGGATAATCGTCGCGCGCGGCAACTTAATGTGTGTTGCTGACGCGCGCTATCAATAGCCCAGCCGAGGATTTATATATTGTTGATTTTCTTTGGTCTACACGACTGTCTGTAGCCCTATGGAAGTTGAGTGTCATGAACGATCCAACTTTTCTGGGTGGCAAGTCGAGAAATATGGGGAAGCTTGGTAATACTCCTCTAAATGAGATGATTCAGAGGAATGGCTAGTTCGAACAACTTTAGAGCACCGTAGTGGACATGACCGGACTCGGTATTCCGTCATGGTACATATACTGGTGATCCCTGCAAACGATGAAGCGCTGGAGGGGTCGAGGGCAGGAATAGCAGGGCAGCCAGAACAATGTTTGTCGCCAACGATAGCGAACTGGGCCTGAAATTACAGGTGGAAGAGGGGGCTTTGGCAGCGTTTCAATCTACGGTCAATCAGACGCATCATCAATTCCGGGATTTTGACGGGACATATACTCCTTATCCCTGAGACAGAGTAGGCGTGGCATTTGAACATGGCACGGAACTGGTTACTCGTGGAATATTCCAGTCTGGGACAACTGTCATCTTGTTCTACGTTCGACAGAGACACTGCAACAATTGTGTCAAGGTGAAAATATCTCAACAGAAGCATAAACACCTTCCAGGCTAACTAGAAACATGCGACCACGCCTACCACGATCTCAGGGATTTCGAGTATACTATGTTGATGGTGACGATCTACGGATGTATTGACGTGATCATGCGTTAGGAGCTCTAACTGCCTCCCGGGTAAGAATAATCACTGTTGGGTAGCAATCGTGAAGAAATAAAGCCATTTATAGGTTACGATGCTGATCACCTTCAAGCTGAATCCACCCGTCTTGTTCATGATGTACCGATAGTAAAGGAAGATCACCGAGAACGCCACCGTGAACACCATGGCGCCAACGGAAAAGCCGAGAATGAAGGCTGGCCACGACAGACCTGAAACCACAAACTTTGTTAATTCAAAACCAAAGCATCGAAGTTTTCATGGACTGAGATACGTGTCATGAAAATGAAGCAGAAAAATGAAATCAAAAATAGTCCGCTCTCTAGGATTCCATGGTGGAAGCGGAAGATACAGGCAGGGTACAGCATCCTTGTGTGAAACCCATGGGGGGTCGTACTTTTGCTCTGGGGAGGGGGGTCGTGCCTGGACCCCATTCGAAGGGGGGGGGGAGTCGTACTCACACCGACATTTCGCACATCCCCATGCTGTACCCTGGAGACAGACTACATTCGACTCATATAAACTTACCCCAATCGATACCGTATACGACACCCTTTCCGCCAACATCCATTGACGACTAGACAGCATATCGGTTTTTAGCGCTTACTTTACAATGAGAAATGGCCGCCGATCATCGTCCTAGCCCACATTTGAATTCCTTTCCGTAGCTATACAGTGATATCTTGAGATTGAATCGGGGTCAGAACCTTTCTAAAGAAATCAACAAGGTGAACATGGCATTTGAAGTCTTTACGAGTAAAATTCCATATACGTTTTCGGAGTAAGAGGGAAATAAAAAGTTTTACGCTGATCATGCTAGAAGCGGTCTTATTTAGAAAAGTGATTTTGCAGGACCGGAATGAAAAGGAAAAGGGGACTACCTCTTAAAATAAAGACTACTAACAATAAGTAAACATAAGAGCTTTTTTTCAGAAAATATTCGATCACGACTATATCTTGCAGTAATTTCATAACAAGAACATCAAGTCCTCGCCCTGTTGGGATGCAGCACATTTCTACCCTCATTCAGAATCTAGTGGCTTATCAAATTGATCTGACCAACAAAACGATCTGCAGGAATCAGCCGATCGACAAAACAGTATTCTTATCCTTCCAGACGAAACTGCTACCGCTTTACGTTCCCAGAAAAAGTAAGACATGCATGGCCTGGGCGGAAGGGGATGCGAGACTTGGTCCACGCGCGTGCTTAGCGTGCCACCTGCAGCCGTGTACTTTGGAGAATACAACGTTCAACGCGAGGGAAGGGGCTCGCAACTGGCCACAACACAAAGAGGTCGTTTTGTCATGAGAGTTTCTCTAGCTCTTGATATTTTTCGCCCCAGCACCATTATAAAACCTATCCGACTACTTGTTGCAAGGTTCGATCATCTTGAAACCTGAGCATCTCCCATAGAGAAGGTTGTTTGGTCTGCCACGACAAAGAGCTCGACCAGGTAGACTACTAATACAAAACCATTTTCAGGTCTTGGAGTTAACGACTAACAAATAGACGAAACGAAATAACCCATTAAACGCGGGTCCATCTTGTCAAGCCTGTGAGGCAAAGCAATAGAAAAATGCGTTCAACTGTTTGTGATAGTTGAATGGAGCGCCTCTTATCGTATTGCAAGTATTACGTTGAACACGCTATCGTTTTTAAAGGTCGCTCCTTATTTTATCCGTTTCTTTCAAAAAACACGCTCCGCGATCAGGTACAGAAATTGAAAATATGACGTCGGGAGAGCAGTGTGGTCAGCGGCAAACAACCTTGTATAGGTTTCGCGGCAAAAAATTGGGCCTTATAGCGCAATATAGTTCCACTAACGCCTCCTTCTTTCCAGTGACTTCGCCTCCAGGCTCGCCTTCAAGGCTCGTCCTTTAGTGAAAAACGAGGCTGCAGGAGCGGAATGTACTTTTGAAAAAAATCTGTGCGGATGAAGGCGTAATGTTGGAAATGGAGTCAATTGGGTATGTACGGACTGGGATCGAAATGAGGTTCTCCCTAGGGCAACTGGCATGTTTTGTTTTTTCTATATGCAAACCGCTGATCCACCACCTGTGATGGCGAATGATTGCGGGCTTTGCCTTTGATTACAGTCTTGCTGATCAGAATACAATGTAAAACAGCTCTGGTATGATGTCTTTATGTCACTTGAAAACGTTGAATAAATTGCATATTTCTTCACGTAACACATCGTCCAATCACTTCTTCTCCTCTTCTTTTTTCTGCAAGTAAACATCCAGTTATTTCATCTGTGTCCATAGAACGGGCATATCTTCTTGCACCACAAGAGTCATCTATGACTAGGACTTTTAAGGAAGTTCCGACGTATTTCTGGCAGCTTCAAGAAGCTCCGTGTATGTTCCAGTGGTCTTTTTGGTAGACTCTTATTTGCAGTTAACGTGCACACCTATATGGAAGTAATGAACAATTTTCGCAGTCTAGCACCACCATCTGACTCCATTCCTTCATTTATATAACGCAGTACCGTCTGGTGAAGAGTAAGTATTGATCCGATTCAGTCGAAGGAGTGTTTGCACAAGGGTGGTCCAACTAACTTCAGTACTACCGCCACGGTACCGTAACCCCAAGCGGCGCCCTTTAAATTGGAAGTCTGTCGTAGGCGCGCTAAAAACTTCAGCACGGACGCTGAAACTACGCCGTTATTTCCTTTTTCTGGGTGGAAGAAAACGGATGTGGTTTCGGATGTCGCGGTGGGGACTTCGATGAGATGCTGCACTTTTGATGCTACCCAGTTTTGGATAGAGACGGCTTCCCAACTTCGCTGTAGTATACAATAATTTACTACGGTAAATCTCAATCTAATCGACTTATTAGCCTCATCGCCTCGAAAGGTAGAATAGGTGGTATTGCATGTAGTTGGTCGCGTTCACAACTACGACTTTTCGAACTGGGAATAATTTTTTCTCCTAGTTGCACCAGAACTGAGTCCGAACTGTAGCTGCACCAAACTGACGCCAAATGGTACCGTCACGAAACCGCTATCTTTTACGTCTAGTTGTAATAGTGGCGTCTTTCGCTTCTGCAATCACTACGCGTGCAGTTAAATTTCATGGAATAGGTTGGGGAAAGCACTTGTGAAACAATTCTCTGGTCTGGAGTAAGTTAAAAGTAATTCGGCTCTTTATATTCATGTAATTATTCTCCAAATGTAAATAGAAAAACTAGAAAGAAGCGTTGTGAGCGTTATGAATTCCCTTACGCTGCGCAATGCCAAACATCAGAGCCTCTATGTCGAGACGAAAAATTCATAAGTGAAATGTGCATGAAATTTCCGTCCATCGTCGAACACTGCAGTGTATTAAGCATTTCCGCACAATTCCCATAGTGGTACCGGCGTAAAGTTCGGTGTTATACGTACGTCCACTGCGGAGTTACAATCAACTGGGCGCCGCCTTGGGTTACGGTACCGTGACGGTAATACTGAATTTATTAGGTTGTTGCATAAGTTCTTATACACGACTTTTTTGTAAATATCTCAAAAATGAACCAGCCTGGAGATTAGAGGTATGCACCATCACCATTCACTACTCGACGCCAGCGCTCAGGCAGCTTGTCGATTCCATCCTTCCAGAACGACGGAGGCTGGGACTTGAAGAAGTCGTCGAGCGCCTTTCTGACCTGATCCTTTGTTTCGAACTTTTTTCCGTCCAGATAGCGCTGCAGGTGGCTGAACAGCCAGTAGTCAGGAGCGAGGTCAGGGCTGTAGGGAGGTGGGCGACCATCAGCCATCCGTACTTCTCCAGCTCGGCCTGGGTCGCCTTTGCAGTGTGAGGTCGGGCGTTGTCATGGTGGAAGTAGATTTCCGCATTCCTTCCACGAGTACGGTCGACGTGATCTTTCAATTTCCGCAGCTGGGTCACGTATGTGGAAGCGTCAATCGTCTGTCCCTTCTCCAGCAGCTCCCAGTACTCCATGCCTCTTCTGGACCACCAACAGGACAGGAGAACCTTTTTGGGGTGAAGGTCGGCCTTTGGGGTGGCTTCTGGCTGTTCTCCTTTGTCGACCCACTGCCGCTTCCTCACAGGGTTATCGTAGAGGACCCACTTCTCTCCAGTGATCATCGAGTTGAGAAAGTGAAGCCTCTTTTGGAAAGTGAGGAGAGAAGTGCAGGTGGTCACCCTCCTCGAGAGGTCATAAGCGGACAGTTCATGTGGGACCCATCGACCAAGCTTTGCTACCTTGCCGAGCTTTTCTAGTCCACGTGCAACCGTCGAATGATCATAGCTAAGCATGGTCGCCATTTCTCTGGTGGTGAGGTACGGGTCCTCCTCCACGGTGGAACGTAGTACTTCCAAATCCAACTCCATCGGCCGACCCGACCTCGGAGCATCTTCGAGAGAAAAGTCTCCTTTCTTGAATTTGGCGAACCAATTCTTGCATGTCATGTAAGAGATGACGTCCTCACCGTATGTATCCACCAGCTTGGTATGGGCTTCCTTTGCATTCCAGCCGAAATCGTGGAGCAAAACCAAACAGTGGCGCAGGTACGTTTTGTCACAGTGCAAATTGTGCGACATTGTGTACTGCAAATGCAAGCTCGGTGAGTGATAGCTAGTGTAATGAAAGAGTATAATGTACACGTCACGCACACGTGATGACGTAATACCAACATCCATGCGAACGAAATAGGAGAGGATCAAACACGTGTATAAGAACTTATGCAACAACCTTATAGCTTCTAGTAATGTTTGCTGATTCAGCAGGCATCCCCGTGATGTAGCGAGCCACCTCTTGGAATTTGGACGCGATCGCCTCAGGTCTGTGGTAGAGTGAGGATGGGGCGACTTATGGTTAGCCACTGCTGGTATTGTTCACGACAACGGCTGGGTACGATCCGGATCACCTTGTCCACAATCCAATTGCGACATCTCGCGCGCGACATTTATCTACGGCAAGCACTGGTTGCAGGATCATCATTCGCCCACTTGAGTCAAAAGTTATTAGTATCAGTAAAATTTGGAGCTCATCCTATTGTATCGTGTAAGTATGCTAAAGCAAGCAGGTTCTTAGGGTATTACTTTAGATGCCCGCAGAAATGGAGATATAGAAGTTACGCCTAACCTCCTCTGCTTTATCAGCTTTGCTTGGTGTACCTTTAGCGTCTTCCTTGGGGGTTTCCTGGAAAATCGTTTGAAAAAGGGTGTACATTCGATTGATCGCCAATTCTTACAGGTTTTGAAGTTCCCTCCTTTGCTTCATCCTTTTTCTCTCCACCTTCCTTCTTTTCTCCCGACCCCTTCTTCTCTCCTGACTCCTTCTTCTCTCCTGACTCCTTCTTTTCTCCTGATTCCTTCTTCTCTCCTGATTCCTTCTTTTCTCCCGATTCCTTCTTTTCTCCTGACTCTTTCTTTTCTTCCTTTTCCTGCAAAAGGCGAGAGTTTAGGTCGTTCATTGCTGCTGATGCAACAAGCGGTAACTGTCAATCTCGAAAAGAGCGGAGAGGGTCAATAGCTCAATCGCAACCTTCTTTTCTAGTAAGTCAGATCATATATAAAGACGTTTACAGCTGTGAGAGAACAGCACACCACTATTATATAACTGCTCACGTCAGCCTTGTCTTTTTTCTTCTTGTTCTTTGACTTTGCTTTTTTACCACTTCCTTTCTTTTTGGGCTTTGATGAACCTTTTTTCTTTTTCGGCTTGCTCTTTTTCTTCTTATCCTTTTTCTTTGGAGATTCAGCAGGTTTCTTTTCTTCCTCCTTCTTTTCTTCCTCCTCCTTTTCTTCCTCCTCCTTTTCTTTATCCTTCTTTTCTTCTTTTTTCTTTTCTGCGGGTGCTTTCGCTTCCTCCTTCTTCTCTGCAGGAGGTTTCATCTCACTTTCTTTCTTTTCCGTGGGCGCCTTCATTTCACTTTCTTTCTTCTCCGCAGACTCCTGAGAAGAAAATTAGCTTCAAATTTCTTGAGGGCTCTTGAAATGACTTTTGGACAGCATTACGCCCTGCTTTCATGAGGAGTCATAAAATTAACCCTTCAAAGATTCAAGAACAACTCGATTACTGATTGGGAGACACATTGCTACTATTCAAATAAGTTTTGCGGTTCGGAGCAGGGGGGGGGGGCGGGCCCTCTCTCAGATTAGTTTCATGCAAACGGGGTACACCCGGAGGAACGCTCTATTTCTCAGCTAGGCTTTTGCAGTGCCGTAAAAGCCAGTTGTCGAACCACATTGCCCTATCTACCATACGAAGAGTGACCTGTTAATATTATCTCGAAGGAAGCCAGTCAGAATTCACTTTGGTCAGCTTCAGAGACGAATGCGCTACCCCTCCTCCCTACAAATCGATTTAACTACTGGAAGGTAGTCTTCCATTCGAGCGGAGGTCCCGCCATGGCATGTGGTGCATCTCACCACAACAGGGTTCGCGAATCAGATCCCGATCGGACGCCGTTCAAGTTAACGAGGTTCTTTAGTCCTCAGGAGTCAGTATCGAATTTGTATGTGGGGATAGGAACACTGACACGTACAGTCCTCATCATTGCGGACCGGTGGGGCGTGTCAGTGCGGCTGCGTTTGGCGCGGTGCCAAAGTCGTTCTGCACCAGTTGTTGAAGCGGGCAAGTGACATTACTGTATTATATCCTTCGTATTACTCGTTTTCTACCACTTTTTGTCGCATACGCGTTTCAACAAAAAGGCTGAGAACGGCTTCAACAGTGTGCACACTCATACTGGCTGACACGCCCCACCGATCCGCAATGATGAGGGATTGTACATTGGTTGCCGCTACTCTTATGGGGTCCACATCGCATTTGAGAGTCAGTACTGTTCTGAATGCAAGTAGAGTAGGTGCCACATCGCGACAAGGAGTAATTATCAGCAGAATCTTTATCAACTCAACTACTTGCAGGAAATACTCGATGAACCTTTTTCAAGCCTTCGCTCATAATTGTGACATTAGGTCCATACTGTGCAACTCACTCCTTCCTTCGCTGGACTTTCAGGGGTTGCAGAGCCAGGTGTTCCAGGAGATGCTGATGCTGGCGACTTCTCTTCCTGGTTGAAATTACTGAGGTAAAGCCATTTTTACGTGTAGCGAATTACTATTGAAAAGTTTGCCAACAGCCTAATGCGGTAAGTGCTGAGTTTCACCTACCCCTTCACCTTCACCTCCCTCTTCCTCTTCGTCATCCTTTTTTCCACATGTTATCAGCAACAGCACAAGACAAACCCACTGCAGTATAAGGCAAAGCCAGAGTTCCTCCATAACTCTAGAAATCAACTTGGTAAAAATTGAGAAAAGCGCCAATGAACCCTTGGTAGGATGTTCTGATTCTTAGTAGGCATACCAACCTTGAGTGGCCAGTTAAGCTTGGATGGCAATAAACCTCACTACGATCCATGCATTTTCAAATGAGATAAGCGCATTGATAACAACTTATCTAACTCTCTGACTACCCAAAATTCAGGGGTGATTTGTGGGTAGGTTTGTCAGCGCTTTTGATGTATGATAGTTGTGGAGTGTGCAGAGAAGTTGAAGTTCAAAGCTAGTTCCATGACAGCGGACTAAGAAAGATAGTGTTCTCAGGGCGTAGGAGCAGATTTGAAGCCATTTCGGTGACATGGCAGTCCAGACAAAGGATAAGCAAAGCAGTTTAACACATTGCGGACCGCCGTACTGCGCGCATCTCCGGATCATTTTATGATATTCAATCAGTAACTCATCAAAAATTTTCCACCGCTTTCCAATCGCTTTTAGCCGCATTCATATACGCCGACTCCGCGAAGTCGCAGGTCACACGACATTCCCCCGACGGCGAAGCGCACGCGTCGCGGCTCCCTATTTGGGACGCTAGCCATGAATCAATAGCAGGGCTCATCGTTGTTGAGGATTCCCCGACAGGGATGGGGTCGTATTTAGCCGATGTGAGAGGGGGATCGTAATGAGTGCGGTAGCTCAGTAACGAGCAGCGCAAAGGTGTCAGTGTGCTGAGTCCTGTATGTGAAACTTCCTTGTAGACAACTCGGATACGTGAAAAAATAGTATAAAGCTTTCATTGGTCAAACACCTCCGAAATTAGCTAGAAATATTGGTAAGTTGACATCATTTCGTAAGTAGGTATATGGCTAAACACTTCAACTTATACCCTGGCTCACCGCGGATGATGGGCGACCGCGCTTGGCGCGGCGTCAGTCTGTTTTTTTTGTTTCGACAAACGACAGGACTACCATATCGTTCGTATCAGACGTTTTCCAGCAGTTGGTCTCCTTTATCGGACTCAGCAATTGGTGGAGCACGGATCTGGCGGCGTGCGGTTACCGTTCTCCATTCTCAGTCTTGTCCGTTGTGGGTGATGGAGGAAGGGAGGAGGGGAGGGGGAGGTGGGAGACGCGCCACGTCATCCGCAACAGGCAAGACTGTAAACAAGTGCGTAGGTTGGCCATGGGCCTCCTGAATCCTGTAAACACATCTGCTCGCGTAGACAGGCATTGCGTAGAACTTGCACCATCCCACTACCTCTGCGTGGGAGCCTAAGCATGGCGCATCCAGAAATGAAGCTAATGGGCGCTAAACCAACTACTGCTTGTTCCTATTCCACGAAGGGATGCATTTTAGATGCATTCCTGGATATCCGAATACGCCCACTTGAAGCGGTACGCAGGAAACAGATTTTTCGAGCAGTTCGGAGTGCTCTTCAAATCCCCAACCCAATTATCTCATAAATCCCGGAAACTTCAGAACAGTTTAAGTATTAGGTTGTCCGAAAAGTTCTCAGCGTTTTGGGTGTTTCACTTTAAACGATCGTAACTTTTTTAATACTCATCGGATTTAATCGAAATAGGCACCATTCGAATCAGCACACTTTTGCCAATGTGACAGCAGTCGAGAAATCCCATCAAAGTCGAAAATTCACGAAATCCACGAAGGCTTTTTTGCCTGGTCCTGATTGATGAAGTATTTTCCAGCAAGGGAGTTCTGAAAATGTTGAAAAGGTGATAGTCGGTTGGCGAAAGGTCTGAAGAATATGGCGGTTGAGGTAGAACTTCAACCCCCAATTCGTTCAATTTATGGATAGTGATTTGTGAAACGTGTGGGCGGGCGTTGTCATGCAAAGGAATCGGACCCTTTCTTTTGATAAGTGTTGGCTGCAGCTGACAAAATTTTCGGTACATTTCGTCGATTTCTTCACAGTAGGGTTCTGCTGTGATGGTTTGGCCTGGTGATAAAAAGTTATAGTGGATCACACCAGCCGATGACCACCAAGCCGTGACCAGAATCTTTTTTTCGTGAGGGTTCGGCTTTGAAAATTACCTCGGTGGTTCGTCGAAATCCAACCACTGTCCGGAACGTCTCCTGTTATCATACATGACCCATTTTTCATCACAGGTGACAATTCGGCCCAAAAACAGGTCGTTTCTGCTGCGCAAAAGCAATGCAGAAGGAACCTCGAGACGTGCCGATTCCTGCCGGTCACTCCGATTGTGGGGCACCCAATTGTCGAGTTTTTTCACCTTCCCAATGCGTTCCAGACCATCTGCAACAGTGGATTTGCCGGCCTAGCTCTTCTGCTATCTCTCGAACTGTTTGGGATGGGTCAGCCTCCAAAATCCCCCTAAAATCCTCGTCAGATATTGCTTTAGGTCGACCGCTATGAGGTTCATCTTCAAGGCTGAAATCTCCAGAACGAAATTTGTTGAGCCATTGCCGCACAGTGCTTTCTCTAGCACTATTGGGCCCCCACACCTGGTTAATTTGTTGAGCTGTTTCGATTGCGGATTGCCCCAATTTATAGTCGAAGAAAAAAATCGTCCGAAGTGCTCTTTTCACATGCTTGAAAAAATCTTGAAAAAAGGGGTTTATCAAGCAATGGTGAAACGGCAATTATACCATCAGATAGCGCAAGAAATTCTCTACAGGATGTGCTACTGAGAAGCAAGGCAGAATGAGTTTTTAATCAGCAGTGAATGTACAAAAAATAGGTGCACAAAACGCTGAGAACTTTCCGGACAACCTAATAGTTTTTGGAAAGAAGATCATCTACATTCGACACTTAAAGGCAGCGCCCACGTTCACATGATGCTCCTACGCCCTTTCTGGATATCATAGCCCTCCCCATAAGGATGCAGTATGTACTAGTTTTGCATCTCACAAAGGCGAGAGGATAGCGCCTATCGCTAGTAAAGAGTCGACCGCCCCGCCCACCTGGCGACCACGACGCCCAACTTCATTTCTAATGGTTGCCTGATGGTGCGGTTGTTCCATTGCTGCTTCTCTCCACGTCGTGTGGTGAGAGTGAGGTGATAAGGGGAAACAGCTGAAATCAACAAGTGAGAACTCGTGCAACCACTCCTTCTCTTCGCCTTAAGCACGTACAACCGCTATTCGGTATGAAACTCCTTATAGGGCATTTTGCATGTTTTCTTTTTGATTTTTCTTCACTAATAGGTTTCTTGCTACCTTGCTATTACTACCTGTAGTTGTATACTCATCAAATGAACGCGGGCGCTGCCTTTAATTTGGATTTGCAAACAGCTGAGTTTTCAGGAAATTATCTTTGTTCTAACCCTTGCAAAATTTTGGTCCTTCCTTATCGAAGACCGCGTGAAAAAGGGTCTTACTGAAGGTCGGAAAGCATCCTAGGGTGTATTTCGGCGACCTCCTCAAACTCACCTCTCCTCCCCCCCCCCCAGCATCGTTTCCATCCGTGGTCCCTCATGTCGGTGCCCTTGCAAAAGGTATTCCATTTTGCGCGGAGTCCGCTCGAGATGGATTTCAGCGGGGTTCAGAGCCCTTGCGATAGGAGATCTCATCGATGGCGAGAGCAAGAGGAAAGGGATCTCAGCGGTGTTCAGAAACTTTGCAAAATTTTGTTCATTCCTTATCGGAGACCGCGTGAAAAGGAGTTCATCGAAGGTGGGAAAGCACCCTGGGTTGTATTTCAGCACCCTTCTCAGGCTCCCTTTCCCTCAGCATGGCTTCCATCCGTGGTCTCTCATGTCAGTGCCAATGTTAACAGGGTTCTATTCTGCCTCGGAGTCCGCAGGAAATGGATTTAAGCGTTGTTCAGAGCCGTTGCAAAATTTCAATCTTTCCTCGTTCCCTTTACAACAAAACTCTGTTAATATTCATGATATTAAGAATATTGATAACATTCAATAGTATTCACAACCCTAATAATGTTTAATAATACCAGAATGACCACAATTTGATAATGCAACATTAATCGGTTCAGTTCCGATTGCGGTCGATCCATTTTCTTCCCATCTTATCGCAACCGTAGACGCCTTACCGCCGCAGGCGCTATGTGCTCCTAATCGCGAAATCGCCGTTCTCATCTGGTATCCCCCTCACCACATCATATCCCAGTGACCCTATTTAACTGGCGCCCACTCCCGCACGTGGATGCAGCCGCCACGTGAGCAGCTGGTGCAACATAGGGACACTACGCCGCCACTGTTCTTACCACCGCCTTGCTCGTGCTCACGTCCAGCTCCCAAGCGAGCAGCTCCTGCAATAGCACAGAGTCTATCACAGTGGTTGGCTTAGATAGGGGAGCTATTCACAATCCAAACAGCTTCCTAGTTCGTTGCTGTAACATGGATTAGCTTGCAGTTTTGCTAGGGGTTCTTTCCTTCTGTCTTGCCGCCTGCTCCTATCCAAGCGTACGCTACGCATCCCCTTACTGTACCCAGC